AAAGGKKGAAAARCCCGTGAGCCATTGTCCATTGTGGGTGTGGGACTGCCCTGRATGCACCTGAAGGCCYYGCAAYAAATAGAACATTTTTTGATTTTCTGAATTTTTTCCAACTTCTRTTTTAGGTAARCCCATTAAGGCAYCACATTAAATCATGKMAGGAGTTGATTATTTTTACTACRSCWTATATTYTGGAATTTCCTACATGYAAAATTAACTCTGGAGTACCAGTGCTAGTTAGGGGAATCCTAACAAAATCCTAAAATTATGGAAATAGGCACATCTGTCTTTGAAAAATGCCTTCCCACAAATATTGCTGCACATTTTAAATGCTGTATAAAGTTCTCTCAGCAGTGTTGGAGTCCACCCAGCCCCGTCTGAGGGTTCATCAGAGGCAGAGCCGCTTACCCAGGCCATGCCTGTGCGTGGACATCGGGGGCATCACGGTCCAGGCTTTGCTGACGGGGTTGAAGCACTCGACGATGTTGGAGGTTTTGAGGCCGTCCCTGCCCCCCACGATGTAGAGTTTGTTGTCAATGACCGCCACCCCGAACTGCAGCCGTCGCCCGTTCATGGTCCCRATTTGGATCCAGCTGTTGGTCCTCAGGTCGTATTTCTCGATGGTGGTGGTTCCTGTCCAAAAACAGAGACAGCCATGGGGGAGCAGGACCCAGCAGCCAGCACAAAATATGGTTAAATTACGAAAATTTGTTGTTCTGTGGGTGAAATTTTGCTGTGGCTCCCTGAGAAATTCTGTTCTTGTGTGGACCCAGGGAGAAAACTGCAATGATTGCATACATGGCTGGTAAATCTGTGAAAATACACTTGGGGGAAAGAAGGTGAAAAATTAAATTTGAGCATTTTTCATGGCACTGCAAATTTTGGAGATGTGTTGAATCTGTTGCTTAACTGCCATGAGGGTAGGGGGTTGTGGTTTTGTTTGGGGGTTTCTTTATGAATATGTATTCATAAATATATATATATATAATAATAATATATTCCTTATGAATTCAGTGCCTCCCAACAATCTACCCTTAAACCACGTTTGTGCCTAAACCATTGGTGATATTAAAACCAGAATACCAGCTTGAGATCTGAGGGACTGRAGATGCATCTCCAGCAATCCTCTGGATATTTTCCCTTTCCCTCTGGAGCCAGGCAGAGGATTGGGCTGTGTGTGAGTTCACATCTGGTGCCCAAAACTTCCCCGAGGTTTCCCTGTGCAGCAGCTCCAGTAGCTGCATTTCTGCTGGAGCAGAGAAGCCACATTTTCAATCTTTTTCAGGTCACTGGCCCTCCAGTAACGTTTTTACTGAAACTCTTCATAAGGCACSAGCTCTCTGCCGTTCAGCACTGACACTTTTCCACGCACATCATCGCTCAGGAGCCGTAATTGCTCCTCTGGGGGTTGATAAGCACAGCGAGGGCATGGCTCAGTAAGATCCCAGGCAGAATTGTCAGCTCCACATCAGTGCACCCTGGAGCTCCAATTCAGCTCAGTCAAAGGCAGCCAGATGAGGAAAACATAGCTGATTTCTTGTTCTTTGACTGGGATTTGAGAATAGACATGAAGTGTTTTGGAGATAACAGCAGGCAGTTTGTGGCTGAGGAATTGCATTTACAAAAGGAAAACAACCGTGCAATAGAGCAGAAAAGAAGGGTAGGATTTGGGTTAGAGATCTGTCAGAGATCACCTGATGTACTCCAGAAATTCAGTGAAATTCAGAGTTTATCTCATGCTAGCTTTTCTCTTAGCTACATGTTTTTCCTCAGGCATAGGCTGGAAAAGAAACTACCGGCTCCATCTGCAATAAAAGGCAGAAATTCCACTTTTTCCCCTTTTTTTCAGAGCAGCTGGATTTCTTTGGCTGTTTTTTTTCTATTTTGTTGGTCTGTTTGTTCGTCTCTGCTTTGATTCTTTCTCATTTATTCTATGTTAATATGTGAGTGCCCCAAAGTTCTYCACTTCAAAGGGAATCTCTCCCACTGACAGACACAGGGAAGATGCAGYGGGGTTGAAGTGTGTTCAGACAGACCCCGTGGGCTGTAATTTGTACAGAGAAGAAGAGCTGAAAGTCACAGAAATTAACGTGGTTGAGGCGCATTCACATTTTTTTCAAAATTCTGGCACGAAAGTATCACTTTGATCTTTTTGATCATTTGAATTTGAGATTTGGCTTTCAGTTCCACCTGAGATAAGCACAAAGCCAATGTTGGTATTGCCTGAGACCCAAACCCGGTGTGTCCTTTGTCACAGGCAGTGTCACTGCCCGAGGTGGGGGTYTGTCCTTCCTCAGAGCTGCTCCTCCAGCACATCCTGATCCCTTAGCGCTGTTTCCTTTGTCTCACCATCCACCCCAAACTCCAAATCTGACTCAGAGCTGTGGAGGACAGCAGGGAGGAGCAGAAATGCTGCTCCTCTTACCCATCCAAAGGCAAAAGTTCAAACCCTTGGCTCCATTCCRAGGTCAGCAGTGACAGAGGCACCAGCAGGAAGTGCAGATGTTGGCTCAAACAGCTTTTCTTTGCGTAACCTTCGCTAGGAAAAGCTCATTGGAAAACTGCATTTCTATTTGAGGGGGAGAGGAAGATTACCTTGAATTTGTGGTTGTCTGATACAACCCATAAATGCTCGGTATCACTAATGAATCTRCTTAATTGCAGCAGTTTAACTCCAATTTGCTAAATTGTGCTAGGAGTGAGTGTTTTCATGTCGTGCTGGCGATGAATGCACACCCTGCACTCGATGTGATTGCACAGAGATAGGGAGGGAGCTCTGTAAGATCTCTCATATGGGGAAAAATCAGTCGTCAGCAGCTTTTTTTTGTAAGCCATGAAATGGATTATCTTCTTTGTGATTCTATTAAAAGTGAACTCACACAGCTAAAAGTAATTCTGTGCAGCAAGTTGCTAGATTTTAAACGAATTAGAGTTCTCTGGCTCCAAGCTGTGGGTTTGAAGTTGAGGTTCCTGGAGAAAGTGATTTAATATTCTGCCTCCTAAGTAGAATAGCGCAATGTTTAAAGCTGTAACCTGATTGCAGTTGTGGAAATCAAATAATAGAAACTGGAATACATTTATAATAATTAACTTTAGACTACAAACCTGAAAAAAAAATTGTGTATGAAGTCCTGAAAAAAACTGCACTCGTGGAAAATACAAATCTTTCCAGCTGCAATTTTCTAATAAGGATTGGTAAGCATTAGGTAAGAGTTCTCTGTAGTTCAGTCATGTTTTTTGTTTTATTTTTCTTATCCTTTAACATTTTAGCTGTCTTACTTTGTCAGAATATAGACCACAAGGTTCATTATTAATCAAATCTTGAAATATTTTGAATATTTACTTTCTTCTTCTGACTTGCAAATTCAACTATTTTTTGCAATGATTCGTGCAATGTTTAATTTTAAAATCACCATCTGAATCTGATTTCTTTACTCTGCACCTCAAGATAGGTTTATTGTTTACAAATATGATTCTCGCAAGAAGAATGAACTTGTGAAAGAGGATTCTGTTTGTGATTTGGTTTTTCTTCTTCTTCATCCCTAAACTGATGTTTTCCTACGGGAAATATTTAAATAATTGCCATATATTCCCTGGGTGTCTGTACTACAATTAATTAATACAATCAAATTAATTTGTGGACTTACCTTTTGTGGCATCCATGCCTCCTACAGCATAAAGGGCACCCACTGTGGATTTTCGGGGCTTGGTCCGAGGGCTCTGCATCATGGAGCGTCTCTCGGGCAGGAGGTGGTACTTCATGGCCTCCATGAGCAGTTTCTGACACTCGAGRTCATCTGCAAACATTGGACTGTTCTCTAGATCAGCCAGTAGCTAAGAAATGAAGAGAGAGAGGAGCTTGGTACTCATCTAAATCATTAAAATTGCATRTAGTTTAATAATTAAAGTATTTGTAGATACAAGCATATTTTAAGTGCACCAGTCACTTGAGCTCTTCTGGAAACTCTGCTTTAATACAAGCAAAACTTCATAAAGGTGGAGGAAAAAAGTCCATGAGTTTGATGGCTTTGCTTAATTTTTTCCTCCCTCTTTCTTTTAGCTTCTAAAAAAGTTTAAAATCAGAAATATAGGACTGCACTCTCTGAAGGCAAAACTCTTTCTGCTGTAAGCAAATCTAACACAGAGAACTGGGCATCTCTGTGGATATTAGAAGATATTAAATGTACTTAAGTATGTGTAGTACTTTTATACTTTATCCAAAGTTGAATTTTTGCAGTCACACAGGACCATAAAGGCCCCCACTGAGAGTCTTGATGTTCTAGATGCATTTGTGATGAGACATAAAGATTATTCTGTGGCACAGACCCAGAACTTTCACCTTCCTATAAAACAGGATGTCCAGCTTTGAAACTTCATGGCTGAATTGTCTCTTTCAGAATTAAGGGATAACTCAATTCTGTCAGTGCCCAGAATTGTCAACAATAAGTTAGGCCTTTTTACATTTGCCTACCTTTTATGGCAATAAATAAACCAGCATTGTTCCTTCCCTGTCCTGCAGTTTGGTAAATCTAAACAAATATTTTCATATGGTCTCTAAACTGCTGTGCTGTCAGAGGAGAACTATTGTAACCCAGCAAAGGAAAAATTGGCTTTTGGAATACATTGACATTTTTCAGAGGTAGTTTGTAGCCTRGTAATTACACTGGCACTGGGGGATTTATTTTTATCTGTGTTTTAAAATAATGAAGAAATATACTGTACAGTTAAAAAAAGAAGTAAAATAATTTAAAAATACCAAAAATCTCCAGCCCAAACCAGAACCTTCTGACAGAACCCCTCTCTGCCTACAGGATGATCAAGACAAGCTCAAGATTTCAGCTGGCAGAGTTCCCTGTTCCYGTTCCCACCTGGGGTGGCAGCAGGGGCAGTCTGATGTAGGACAGGAGCATCCCCAGGTCCCTCTGACGGGTTTGCAGGTCGTGCCTCACCCACATCATCAATGCCTGGAAAATGGCCTCTTCRTCCGGCACGTTGATGTCGTCGCTGGACAAGAGCTTGGCAATTTCATTAGCTGGGAGCAAAAGAAATTCCTGGTTTTTTATTACTTCTATGAAGTGCTCCTAAAAATAAAAGAAGATTTCAATGTGCTGATGGTTTTCACACATGGAAATAGMTTTTGCTTAGATAATGTAGGCTTTGTGAGCATTTCATTCTTGTTTTGTTTCACAGTATAGGGAAATGCTGTGGGTATTCTGAAGATCACTGARTGTSCCTGAACCATTTAAGGGAGATTTTKGTTGCTTTTTGCTGTTTTACACTTGCAGAAATGAGGAATAATGCTCATCTTCACACCACCCTGCTGCAGYTGTCTTTGTCAGGATTCTCATCAGCCTTAGGGATTTGMCACTGGCACTTTTGTTCATCAGTGTGATCTTCACACTGTGGCTGCGTAGAAATACCATTTGAAGATATACTGTGCATTTTAGAAGTGCCAAGTGGGCATTCAGATAAACTGAGTCCCTTCTGTTGCAGATTCAAAGGTTTTGAGCCAATTGCACTGAAACCTCCCAATCCTTTTGTAAAGAGCAGGGCCAGCTGTTGGCTGTTTGAGGGCAAGAAAATGCACCAAASGAAATTTAACTGACTTTTCTAACAGCACTATTTGGGCAACAAAAAGCTGTACAAATCCCAACAAAAGTTCCAGTTTTTTAGTTAACTTCACCAGCTCCAGAAGTGACCACGTGTATTAAATCCCTAAAGTCTTTCATAGAACTATTTTTCATTAAAAATATATTTCACAGTTGAGTAACAACATTATCAGCATATATCAATATTGTCTTTTCCTCATCAAATTGTAAAGGAAAAAGAAATTTGGTCAAGAGAGATAGGTGGTTCTGTTGCTTGCAAAGAGATACATGTAGGAATTCATGTCTGCATTTGAAATATAATTTCTAGTTTGCTACCTGGAATTAATATATTTTCTTTGGGAAACAAATGGAAATAGGGCAGGTGAAGAAATTTCACTAACTGATATTTTACTGTTTGTTTTCAGCAGTTTCTTGACTTTCTGTAACTCTTTTCGAGTGTACCCAGGACGCAAATACAGAAGTATCAGTGATTAAAGGAGATTCAGCTTTGGCCTGTTGTGCATATCCTGCTTTAATAGTTGTGATATTCAGACAACAGGGACAGGAAGGCCAGTCCACTTCTAGTCACAAATATAGCACAGGTTGTTTATCAGAACGAGCTCTGTCTGCATGAAAAGATACCAGGCAGGAAACTGTTAATGCTCTGCACCAGTGGCCAAAGCATTGAGGGGGAAAATCTCCCGTGTCTGGTTTTATGGAATGGATCTGGTGTTTGCAGCACTGAAAATGCAATGGTCTCTGCATTTACAGGACAACTTTCTGGTCTTTCCCCTAAGTTACACATTTTCAACAACATGAAACAAACCTGAATATTTTATTTATCCTCTTCTACAACTCTTTTGTGTGTATGCATTATTATGATCTCTTATTCCCCATAGGTTTTTAATTTAACTCCTGGGAAAGACTGAAGGATGCAAATGGTTAAAAAAATATAACTACAAAGAGCCCTCTTATTGTTATAAAATTATTAGTCTGATCTTACAATTTTATTTCCGTTTTTGGGAATTATGAACAATCATTTTAAATGCCTAAAGCTGCTCCCCATGTGCTCRGGCTGGTGGAAGGAAAGAGGCAACAGTAGAGGGGTGATTTCCTGATTTTGGCAGGATATAAAAAGGTGTGAAACACCAAGGACAACATTTTATACAGGCTGAGCAAACCTCTATCTTAAAYACCCTGTTCCAAACTTTAAAATACAAAGGGGATGTAGATTGCTGCTGAACAAACCATTCATTGCTGTGACAGGAAGGAGCATGAGCACTGTTCCCAATCTGCCCATGCCATTCCCTCATTTCAGCAGGAGGACATGCACAATCCTTGCTGGATTCTTCACTTCTCAGCCTTTTGAAGCCCCTAAACCAGTTCTRACATCCTCCACTAATATTTCAAGCACCAGGCTGCCATGTGTCTCCTAACAAGTATTTCTTTTTATATCTATTTAGCTGTGGCAGCTGCTATTCTTTATGTGTTTAAGGCTGTGATAACACATCTCGTTGCCCTGAATATTTATCCCTCAATTTGGTTTCACAGCAAGTTATCTCGCTTCTCTGTTTCCCATGCTCTGAATATTCATTTTTTGCTTTGAGCCAGAGGAGGATTATGTTCCAGTCAGRGACGTGCTGCTTTTTAGCATTCCAAATCTTTCCGATTCGTTCTTTATTTTGACTCTTTTTGTGCGTGCCTCACCTTAAAATCAGCTTTAGAATTTTGCCTGTGTGGAATCAAAGCCGTGAGAATGGCCCAGTGCTGTCTCTAGACAAGAGCCATGTTCAGGCCATGTTACATTTTTTTTGGCAGGGAAAACTAAGTTTGCTAAGGATGCCTTTCTACAAGGCATAACCCCGAAATGGGGAACAACAACCTGAACATTTTGTTGTATAATTCAGACAGAAAGGCAGCKGTCCACCTTACCATGGTGTAGGTGTGTGCCACCTTCAGGAGCTCGGTGCAGCCCTGGGCATCCCCGAAGGAGCGGATCCCCAGGCAGTTGGAAGGGTGGAGCTGCTTCATCAGGAAGTTGCAGCACACCTCGATCACCTGCGAGAGCTGCAGGAGGCACGCCGCAGCCAGCAAACTCTCTATCGTGTCTTCCTTCAGCTCAAGGATACCTGGGCAGTTTTCATTTAGGAAAAAAAAAGAAGAAAGTTTTAAGTATTTTTCCTTTTGTTTTCATTGTTCAGAAGTTTGCCACTCTTTGATTTTTCCCTGAGGTGTCCTGTGGTTCACAAATTCATTTTCCTTTCTTGCTGACGGATTTTTCAAACAGGTGTTTTAGCAGACTCACAAGGGTTTGGTAGATATTGGATACAGCAATTGGAACATTTTAATTGGAACTTTAATAGTGTTAGATCTGGATTGGATGGGGAAAAAAATTAATAAAAAGAAAATTATGATTAGGGAAAAATCTTCCCCAAAACAGGGCTCTGAGTAACCTGGTCTAGTGGAAGSTGTCAMRGTTGGGGATGTTTTYTAAAGCTCCCWTCCAACCCGAGCTATGAAAACTGATGTTAATTGATAAAAATATATATAATTAATAAAAATACAGATAATGTTTGTGCAACAAGAGCTTTAGTAAGAAGAAGGCTGGGGGCAGGGGTACCTGTGTAGGCGTAGCGCACCAGAGCTTTCAGCGCCTCGGGATCCACTCCTTCCATCTTGATCTCCTCCTGCTTGGCYTCGCGCACGTCGCTGGTGAACATCGCGGCAAAGTAATCCGACACGGCGCTCAGGACCAGCCTGGACACAAAATTACCTCCTTATCCCAATGCCAGGCAGAAAAGCCAGTATTGTTGTGTTATAAATACAGTGTACGATGGAAACAATTAGCATAGGATTCAAATCTTGCGGCACTGAGCAGTGAAGTTAAAAGAGTAATTAGTGATGTAATTTTCTTCCAGAGTGCTTATTTGGGCAGATTTTCTTCGCTGATCTTGCTGTGGTTTGACAGCAGCAAGAAGAGAGGATGGACAATGCCAGTGGTTTTTATTGGAATTTAATTCTATTTAAAATAACAGATATGAAACGTTGATCACGTCATTTCATTCAGCATTACCTGAAGCCCTTATTAACCATTCATAATTAACCAGGGCATTCATAAATCAAGGCGGCACTTGGAAATTTGGGATATAAACAATCCTGGGCATTGTACCTGTGGGCTGGAATCTTTTGGTCGCCAGCAATCAGGAGCACGTCGCAGAGCTGCTTCTGCTGCAGGTAACTCTCCATTTTACGGAAGGTTTGCTCCGCGTGGTTCGTGGACTGGAAATACTCATCAGAGCCATTGGTGCCCATGCCCAGGGAGCTGCTGGTGGTGGACAGCCTGCCAGGGACAGAGGCAGCATTGTAAATTGTTATTATTGTTGATTTTTGATCAAAGGTGGGGCAGAAAATTGTTAAATTTTAAAGGTCCCACAATCCTGGTCTTGCCATGGCTTCCTCCAGCTTTTTGTCTTTCGTATCTGGGTTTTCATTCATAAGATTGTACATGAACTGTGTTTCACTACAGTTGTCTGTAGTAGGTGGTGCTGCTGATTTGTCTCCTTCCATCAGTGTTGAGTGGATGCACTGTTTGTGTGATAAATGCATCTTCCCGAGCAGCCGCAAACAGAATAATCTAAAAAAACCTCTATTTTCCTGCGATACTGATAGCTAAAACACCTCCTGGTATGGAATGTTGGATATTCCATCTTTAGGTTTTATTTCTGATCTCCTCTTACTTTGCCCATTAAATTACCTGACTCAGTGGGAATGGATCTGAGGACAATTTAATGAGCACCATATAATTCTGGAGAAATTTCCAAATTAAAAGCCCATGGAACCTGTGCATTMCATGGCCTTTAGAATCTGAATAATGAAATAATGGAGACAAATTAATTTCTCTGCCTTTCATGGAAATGTACRGCATAAAYRCATTCCTCCCACTCCAGAATTCTSTYAGCTTTCCCACTTAYAAAAAAATCCCTATTTTTTCAAAAYATCATTCCTTACAGCCTTTTAATGTGGATTACRTTGCAGATTGAAACACCTTTTTGGTATTTTCTTTTTCTATTCATCTGTTTTTAGTAAAATAATAATGCATTTGTATACAAGTATATTACATAGCTTGAAAATGCTGCAATATTCAACACTACTTTAGCTAAAGGTTATTTAGAAAACAATTTTCTCAGTTAATATCTTATTTTGTTAGAATGTAGAGCACCTGGGTTTTTTTAAATTTCCAAGCATAAATAAGAAATAATGACAGCTGGTTGACCAAATATCTTGATTGTCTTTGAGATTGTTAATGCAAATCCGTAAGTGATTAGGAGAGATAAAATCTCTTCATGAAATTAGCGTATTAAATTTAGCAGAATATTGGATTACGTCCGCAATTTAACATCTAGTTCAGAAAACGGAGAGATAAAAATTGCGAAGTCAGGTTGAACTGGTAATATCAGAAAATAGAGATGCTAGATCAGACATTTTCAAAGATCATACCTCATTAACAAAATTCAAGGGAAATAGTTAAAAATCAGATTATCATGTAGTATTGAATTGAGACACAGCCATTTTCCATCCACTCTGCAAAATGTTTCTCTTTATTACAATTTTGAATCCATTTTTGCTTAGTTTAATTTAGTTTTACAGAAAAAGGGGAAAACCAAGTTCACCTCTAATGTGTTTCCTTTGTAGTTTATGACTTACAAAAATGAATTTGTCCCACTGTGTTTAATAACTCCGCTTCCTTATTTGTTTCCTTTCAATGCTTCATAGAAAATTACGAAGCTGCAAAATTGGATTATATGCTCATTAGTTCGGTATCAGCTACTGGATGCCAAATTCATACTCTGTAATGTTTTGCTATTTACCTCTTAAGCTTCCTTTAATGTTTTTCAGAAAATTATTTTTTTTTAAAATCATTTTTTCACATTCGTTATATCCACTCTAAGTGCTGTTTCTAAGTACATTGCACTGAGCYTTGATGATGAAAAAACCTCAAATAATACTCAACCATCCCTATGGTAAACAGACAGTTCTGATTATGTGAAAGAAATAATTCCCCATAGTGTGTATTTATTTGTGGTTAGAGAATCATGGCCAAGGGAATGAAAGTCTAATTATTTCATTTAGTCCTGGATGCTTTTTTCRTAAGTTTTGTGGAGTCACATTTAACTTCAGCAGAAATACCACCAATATAATTAATTATTTCAAAGGCAAAGGTCTTCAGAGACTGAAAAATACTGGAAGCAAAAGAAAGTTCTCCATTAATATTAATATTATAATTTCTGGTTTATCTCCAGCAACTGGTTCAAAATGGTAGATATATTATGTAGGGGGAAAAATTAAATTCAAAGATAAATATTTATATATTTTCCTTAGTGTATGAGTGTCAGACTCAAATATTGACCTTCAGAATGTAGCGTTGGGTAATGGCAAAATAAAGGAGTCAGAGATCAAAATATCCTGAAGGAAGGAGTCAGGAAAAGCCCCTGGGGAGTGATGGAATTGAGGCAGAGGATGCTGAGGGTGCAGCCCAGAGATGGGAAAGGAGCTCGGAATTTTCAGGTGGGAGCACAAGGTCCTGTGCAGGATGGACTCAGGGCTCACCTCAGAAAGGGAACAGATAAAGATCTATTCCTACAAAACGTGCATAAGTCTGGACTAACAAAATCAGAATATTTAGCAATAGAAGATCCTGAAAGTGCATTAATCAGGAAGGAAAACAATCAGTGAATTGCTCTGAAGAATCAGGAAMCCAAATTGTTTAATGTCACCTTTGTGTTGGTGTTCACTGGGACAAAGCTGTAGTAATGTAATTAATATGAATAATAATGGCTTATTACATTAATTATTATAAAATGGAGAGGTAAATCTGTATTTAAATTATTCCAAAGTGGCTGCATTCTATGAACTTCATTTAGGTAGAGAGCCAAGTGAAATAATTCCAGAGTTCTCCTGTAAGGATTTGTCAATGAGAGGGAAAATGTGGTCCCATTTTTAAAAAGAAACACGGAATTTTGAAACATGCAATATAAACAGAAAACTTGAAGAAAGAATCATTTAATGTCTCGATGATAAGAAGGACATAAATCCCAGCCAGCGTGGCTGGTCAGGATGAATCATGTCAGAACATTGCATTTTACTCATTTTTTTCCAAGCCACCAAAGCTTACTGGGAGAAAAACAGGGGTTGTCAGAAGCCATCTCRCCTTCTGGATGACTTCTGACACTATTTCACATGACATTCTCAAAATCGAGCTGGGCTGGCATGTTTTAAGTGTAATAAATATAAGAGATATGAATAACTTGTTTAGCCACGCTTGAAATCCAGCGGGGATTCAGCTCCAGAGGCAGAGAAGGTGCTGAAAGCATTCCAGACAAATCCATGGTTTGTTAAAAAAATGGGATGGGAACAGGGTTTGRTGGTCATGCATGGATAGATCATAGCAAGGCACCAAGCTTTTGGGAATGGAATTTAAATTCAGAGAGGCGTCTTCGCCCTCGTCCTCGCTGAGCTTTAGGGAAATTTTTATTTTTCAAAGAGCTGCTTGCATCTGTATTCAAATAATCACCTGAATGWAACACAGGGGAGGAAATGACAGGAAACAGCAGGACTGTACTGGATCCTAAGCAAGCTGGGACTCAAAAATGGTATTGGGAGGTAAAATTTAATCTTTTCTGTAAGCAGAATTGATGTTATAAGTTTTGTGATTCATTCCAGACCTACAATTCTTTAAATTTCTGAATTATGTTAAAATTATTTTCTGCCATGATGAAGTACTCTTCACATTAATCAGCAGAGCACTCTTCATTAATCAGTATATAAAGGATAAATTCAGATTTCCTCATTATTTAACTAGAATGTGATAACACATAAATGCCTTTTATTTGCCACGACCTTTTTAAAATTCAGCATTTTATCAAACCTCGTTCAGTGTGGCTCTGGCCAAAACCAGAAATGACGRTAAGGAAGCTCAGAAGCACAATATTGCATGAAAACAAGGTGCTTTATTGGAATATTTTATTTTTGTTGATGCTGATGAGGCTATTATTTACATTTTTATAGTGGCCACTTCTCTTCTTGGCTATTTGCTGAATGTACCTAGTTAAGTTGCTCTGATATTTGTGAAATTCAGTTTAATCAAGTAACAGTTCAGTTATTGCTGTCCCAGATTGTGATTTTTGGGTCTCTTTTCCCCTGCACTGTAAATCACCCCAGCAGCATCTGGGTACCTGTAACAATGTGGGAACAGAGCCCATGGAATCTCTTTTAGCTGCTCACAGAAATCTTTTATTCTCACAAAAAATAATTTCAATTTTCCTGGGCTGAGCACCCATTGGCTGTTTGCTCTATAGGGTCACAAGTGGGTTTATTATCATCTTAAAATTATCCTTTGYTCTGATAATTGGGGTCACTGCAATGTGTGATTTCCAAACTCACATTTATGGTACACTATCGTGTTGGAGGGAAATTAAAAGCCATGAAGGAGAAACTCGGGGTTGAGTATTTCTTGCTCAACTTTCCAGAAGCAAGTGATAATCTTTCTAAAGAACAAAAAAATGCTGTGACCAGAAGGCATGATGTAGCAYTATTTCGAGCTGTCAGAATGTACAAAATGAAAAATAACAGCTAAATGCTGGATCTGGGCCTGCAGCATTTTTCTTTAGAGGACATAGAAAACAAAATACAGGCCAATGGCAAAAAAAAACCTGGTTTTCACTCCAAGCAAAAYTAGTGCCAGATGAAACTAATTAACTCCATGTTTCTTACTTCATTAAGCACTTTTCAGAAAGATTCCTGATGGGAGAGATTGAAGGGAAGAAGAGCTGCTTTATGTTATCCCTTTCCATTATTGGGAAAAGTGGAACACAGAGGAGCAAAGGGAAATAAAAGTATAAGAAAAAAAAAAGTGAAGTGATTGCTCACATCCAGTGAGCAGAACTTGCTGGATACCTCATTCAAGGTTAAAGACTGCTGCAAAGGGRGAAAAAGTGTGATTTTTAACYTATTTAGCCAGARTGCCCTGTGATAATTACAGATTTATTAGAAAAGAGTGAGAGAGGATGTGTGTAAAGGTCTGGACAGCCCCACAGGTAGACAGCACARATGAGAGACTGAAGTTTCCTATTCTGTTGGAAGCTTTTGTAAGACACGTAAATTTATTTGTGATCAATTCTTTCCTTCTCTTAATCATGCAATTTACCCTGAGAGCATTTCCCTGTGTTAAAGCTGAATATTTCTGCGTGTTCATGGGTACAGAGATCCTGATATCAGAGCATTCTCCAGCCCATTGTTATCTCCTGAGCTTCTGTGGCAGAAAACATAACTCAAACCTGAGTC